ACTGGGATGAGGAGAGGATTTAGGAAGTAGCATATGCTAAGCAAGAGACATGAGAAAACATGATGATCAGGGATGTCATGTAGACTGAAGACTTCCATACTAACAGGCATTTTCACAATTTTATCCTGAAAGCATAGAGAAAACAAATCAACTTGTCATTTTCAAAAACTTACTCTGACTGTAATCTCAATAAAAGGACAGCTTTTAAAGTCAAGCTTTATGAAAAATTTACTACCTTGTTTTTGTTTGTCTCATGTTTTTCTAAATATTTATTTTGAGACAGGGTGTTACTCTCTTGCTCAGGCTGGAGTGCAGTGGCATGATCACAGCTCACTGCAGCCTCAACATCCTGGACTCAGGTGATTCTCCCACCACAGCCTCCCAAGTAGCTGGGACTACAGGTGTGCACCACCATGCCTGGCTAATTTTTTTGTAGAGATGAGGTTTTGCCATGTTGCTCAGGCTGGTCTTGAACTCCTGGACTCAAGCGATCCTCTTACGTTGGCCTGCTAAAGTGCTAGGATTATAGGCATGAGCCACCACACCCAGCCTTTTTCCTTATTTAAAAAAAAAAAAAAGCCCCCTTATTTTATCTATTTCATGTCATGTCATGTCATGTCATGTCATTTCTTTCATTCTATATTTTTGAGACAGCTTCATTCTTGTCACCCAGGCTGGAGTACAGTGGCAGGGTCTTGACTCACTACAACCTCCACCTCCCAGGTTCAAGCAATTTCCCTGTCTCAGCCTCCCGAGTAGCTGGGATTACAGGTGCCCACCACCACGCCTGGCTAATTTTTGTATTTTTAGTGGAGATGGGGTTTCACCATGTTGGCTAGGCAGGTCTCAAACTCCTGACCTCAGGTGACCCTCCTGCCTCGGCCTCTGAATGTGCTGGGATTATAGGTGTGAGCCACCGCGCCTGGCCATATTTATTTATTATGTGTTTTTTTGAGATATAGGCTTGCGCTGTTGCCCAGGCTGGAGTGCAGTGGTGCAATCTTGGCTCACTGCAGCCTCCACCTCCTGGGTTCAAGCGATTCTCATGCCTCAGCCTCCCGAGTAGCTGGGATTACAGGCACGTGCCACCATGCCTGGCTAATTTTTGTATTTTTAGTAGAGACGGAGTTTCACCACATTGGCCAGGCTAGTCTTGAACTCCTGACTTGAAGTGATACCCCCGCCTCAGCCACCCAAGGTGCTGGGATAACAGGCGTGAACCACTGTGCCCGGCCCCCCTTAGTAATTTTAATCCTGTTAAGTAATTACTGTATCTGAAAATTTGGGGGTTCAGTTTTCTTTATTGACTTACTCAAAGTGGGTAAATTTTATGTGGCATTTAATATTTCTTAATTTTGTATTGTTAGCTAGTATTAAGTAGAGTTTTATTTGTGGGAATCCTGTAGGATCTGAAGAATTTGTACCTTCAGAAAGTTTTTACATTTGCTGTTAATAGCCAAGGATCATTTTTTATGTATTCGGATCGTCAAATCTGAACCGTGAGGCCTGGTATCCGAAGCTTACTTATGATCACCCTTTGCCAGTGAATAGTTGTGTTTTGTTTTTTTCCCTTGGCAGCTCTCACTCAGATTGTAGTCTTTTCTAGGTTTCAGGCAAAGAAGGTCTTGGTTCCAGTTGCTTAAAGTCTCCAGACCTAGACCTTTCATCGTGTTCTCAGTATGGCTGTGAAAAATGTAAGCTCAGGCCGGGCGCGGTGGCTCACGCCTGTAATCCCAGCACTTTAGGAGTCCGAGGTGGGTGGATCACGAGGTCAGGAGATTGGGACCATCCTAGCTAACACGGTGAAACCCGGTCTCTACTAAAAATACAAAAAATTAGCCAGGCGTGGTGTCAGATGCCTATAGTCCCAGCTAGTCAGGAGGCTGAGGCAGGAGAATGGCGTGAACCCATGAGGAGGAGCTTGCAGTAAGCCGAGATAGCACCACTGCACTCCTGGGTGACAGAGCGAGACTCCATCTCAAAGAAAAAAAGCAAGCTCAGGTTGGATGCAGTGGCTCACGCCTGTAATTCCGGCATCTTGGGAGCCTGTGGCAGGAGGATCACTTGAGCCCAGGAGTTGGAGCACCAGCCTGGGCAACATAGCGGGATGTCGTCTCTACAAAAAATACAAGAATTAGCTGGGCAGGGTGGCACATACCTGTAGTCCCAGCTACTCAGGAGGCTGAGATGGGAGGATCACCTGAGCCCAGGAGGTCGAGGCTGCAGTGAGCCATGACCGTGACACTGCACTCCATCCTGGGCAACAGAACGACAGCCTGTCTCCATAAAACAAAACAAAACAAAAAGCAAGCTCTTTGGTTATGTTCTCTACAGCCCTGCCACTGCCAAAGTGCAAGTAAAGCCTCTTTATCTGTTCTGGTTTTCGGTTCCGTCTTTATTTCTGGCGTACAGCAGTTTCTCTTGAAGAAATTTATTGACAGTGTGCTTGATATATGAAAAATTTCTGAATGTTTTGTAGTGAAATAAGTTTCAGTTTATTGGGAGTGCTCTATTGCTGGGATTGGATAACTCAAATTTGTCTGCAAATTTACTTAATATTCCTTTTATAAACAGATGTTAGCCCTTTCTTTCACTTTGCTTTTTGCTATCTTTTTACTCCACTTATTGCCTTCAAGTCAAATGGACTATCGCTGTCATTCATAAGATGATACAGTCACAGAGCAGCTTCAGAATTCTCGTGTAGAAAGTGTAAGGATGCATGCCAGAACTTCAGAGTATTTTTGTGGCGTCCTTGCCATGGTGGGTGGGTGGGTGGATGGATGGATGGATGAATGAATGAATGGATGGATGATTGGATGGATGAATGAACCTTCTAGTAATGCTTAGTTTGCAGCTTATACCTTTTTCTGGATTGACCCTGTTTTGAAGGTACCTTTTTCTTTCTCTAATAACTTCTTTTCAACTCTGTCAAGTAAGCCCTATAGGACACTGCTGTTGAAAACTTGGCTTTTTGATCTTTGGAACATACTTTAAGAATTACTGACTGAACCTACTCTTTTGGTATTTGACCCCTTCTGAAACAATGCTTGCATTTTGTTACAGTTTTATTTCCTAATGTGAACTTTTAATATAATACTATGAATTTCTTTCTAAAACACTGCTTTAGCTGTATTCTACAAAGTTTGATATTATGTTCTCTTTTTAATTCATTTCAGAAATTTTCTAATTTTCACTATAATTTCTTTTTTGATCCATGAATTTCCAGATATTTGGGAGTTTTCCCAGATGTGTTTCTGTTACTGATTTCTAGTTCATTTTGTTGCAGACAGAAAGCATACTTTGGGCTGGGTGCAGTGACTCACGTCCGTAATCCTAGCACCTTGGGAGGCCAAGGCCAGTGGGTCACTTTGAGCGTTTGAGACCAGCCTGGCCAACATGGCGAGACCCCGTCCTACAAAAAGATGCAAAACTTAGCTAGGCATGGTGGCTCGTGCCTGTGGTCTTAGCTACTTGGAAGGCTGAGGTAAGAGGATCACTTAAGCCGGAAAGTGGAGGTTACAGTGAGCTGAGATCATGCCACTGCACTCTAGCCTGGGTGAAAGAACAAGACCTTGTCTCAAAAAAAAAAACAAAAACAGAAAGTGAAAACATACTTTGTATGACCTCAATACTCTGTTTGTTTGTTTGTTTTGTTTTTTTGTTTGTTTTTGAGACGGAGTCTCGCTCTGTCGCCCAGGCTGGAGTGCAATGGTGCGATCTCAGCTTACTGCATCCTCTGCCTCACAGGTTCAAGTGATTCTCCTGCCTCAGCCTCCCGAGTAGCTGGGATTGCAAGCGTGCACTACTACACCCAGCTAATTTTTGTATTTTTAGTAGAGACGGGGTTTCACCACGTTAGCCAGACTGGTCTCAAACTCCTGACCTCAGGTGATCCACCTGCCTTGGCCTCCCAAAGTGCTGGGATTACAGGCGTGAGCCACTGTGCCCGGTGACTTCAATACTGTTAAATGTGTTGAAACTTCTTTTACGACCCTTATGTTTTCTCTTGGTACATGTTCAGTCTGCACTTGAAAATGGTATGTATTCTGTTGCTGATGGATGGAGATTATGTCAAACTGGTTAATGTAGTGTGGTTTAAGTCTTCTGTATCATTATTGATTTTTCTGTCTACTTAAAAAAAATCTGTTTTTCAGGGAAGGGATGTTGAAGTCTCCAACTATAATTGTAGGTTTATGTATTTCTCTTTGCAGTTCTATTAATTTTTGCTTCATGCTAAATATTTGTATTTTTATCCCTTCCTAAAGAATAGACTGCTTTATCATTACGAAATGACCCTCTATCCTTGGTAGTTTTCCTTTGTTCTGCAAGTTAGCGAACTCAATATTTTTCCCCCACTAGGAACCTTTTTATTCTTATGCATTAGAATATTAGGCATTTTAAATTTTACTTTCTTACATCCTAATTTGTAAAAATTCACTCTTTTTTCTGTTTCTATTTCTCTCTCTGTCTTTTTTTTGGACATGATCTCGTTCTGTTGCCCAGGCTCAAGTGCAGTGGCGCAATTAAAGGCTCACTGCAACCTCTGCCTCCTGGGTTCAAGGGATTCTCCTCCCTCAGCCTCCTGAGCAGCTGGGACTACAGTCCAGTCGTGTGCCACTATGTCCGGCCAATTTTTTGTGTTTTTAATATTTTTGTATTTTTAGTAGAAACAGGGTTTCACCATGTGCCCAGGCTGGTCTCGAACTCCTGGGCTTACGCCGTCCGCCCGCCTCAGCCTCTCAAAAGTGTGGGGATTAAAGGTGTGAGCCACCATGCCCAGCCCAAAACTTGGCCTTTCTGTGTCTATTTTTCCTCCTATCCTGGATCTTGTATTACTAGGGTTTAAAATTGAATACATTTGCTCAGTGTCACATACTTTGTGAATATCTGGAATCAAACACAGACAAGTTTAAAAGGTGTGAGCCTTTTTACTGTGATTAATTTTAGTATAGCCAGATGTAAAGGCACAGTTACAGTTTACCTTTTTTTCTGCATTGCAGGAATAGACTTCAAGATCAAAACAGTTGAATTACAAGGAAAGAAGATCAAGCTACAGATATGGTAAGTGATGCTAATTTACTTTATGTAGCAGAATGCCAGGTTCCTTAAGGTTTCACAGTGAAATTCTTTTTTGTCACAGGTTTAGATTCTGTAGACTTTCCTTTTTAAAACAGGCAGTCAGGTGACCTTTTTGTGCAGTAAAAACCATTGCATGGACTTAAGTCCATGAGATCTAATAACCTTTTCTACTTACTGTATGAACTCAGGCAAGTTATATACTCACTCATTAGGCTTTTTATCTTCATATGTAAAGGAGGATAGTAACACCCATCTCAATGGATTGTTATAAGGATTACATGAAATAATCTATGCCAAGTTTTTGGTGAAATGCATTGTGAAAATACTTGTTTTCTTTAATATGTTTTTAACTTTTTATGGGCATTATTTTTATTAGTTTGTATTAGGTTTGCCTGAAGAAATACAAAAAAATTCTTTGAATTTGTGTTTGTCTGAATCATAGAATTTAGAATTATAATGGCAATATTTTCCAGCAAATGTTATGTGTTTTATGTGTATTATGTATATTAACCCATTAATTACTAACAAGGACCCTGTCAAATCTGTGTTACTCCTTTTGAGAAAACAGCTTTGTTGAGGTATAACTGAGATAGAATAAGTGCACATAAAGTGTACAACTTAGTAAGTTTTGACATACCTATAAACCTGTAAAACCATCACAACAGTCAAGATAATGAACATATTTGTCACCTCAAAAGTTTTCTCAAGCCTCCTTGTGATCTTTTGTAATCCCTTCTTCCCCACTACCCCTGGTCCCCAGGCAGCCACTGTGCTTGCTTTCTTTCACTGTATTTCTTTTTTTTTTTTTTTTTTTTTTTTTTGAGACGGAGTCACGCTCTGTCACCCAGGCTGGAGTGCAGTGGTGCGATCTTGGCTCACTGCAAGCTCTGCCTCCCGGGTTCATGCCATTCTCCTACCTCAGCCTCCTGAATAGCTGGGACTATAGGCGCCCGCCACCACGCCCGGCTAATTTTTTTTTTAAATTTTTAGTAGAAACAGGATTTCGCCATGTTAGCCAGGATGGTCTCGATCTCCTGTTCTTGTGATCCGCCTGCCTTGGCCTCTCAAAGTGCTGGGATTACAGGCATGAGCCCCTGCGCCCTACCTGTATTTCTAATACTGTATATAAATGGATGGTATGTTTTCTCTTTGTCTTTTTGGTGGGGGGCTGGGGTCAGCCTTCTTTCACTCACCATAATTATTTTGGAAATTATCAGTTAGTTAATTACTTTTTATTGCTGAGTACTATTTCATTGAGATACACAACAACTTGTTTATTCAGCATAAAGCTGCTATGAGTCTTTGTGTAGGCATATACTTTCTTTTCTCTTGGATTATTCCTGTTTTACAGATAATGAAACAGGTGTACTTTGAAATAATTTAACCAAGGTCTTAGAGCATGTTAGTGGCAGAGCTGGAATGCATACTTGCTGGGATTACAGACATGAGCCACTGCACCTGGCCCATTTTTTGTTCTTCATCGCTTGTCAGCAACTGCATTGGGCCAAATGTGGTGGCTCAATTGTGGAGGCAGGAGGATTGCTTGAGACCAGCCTGGGCAACATAGTGAGACCCCTGTCTACCCCAAAAAATTGTGAATTCATATTTTCTCTGTTTTTTGTTTTTGTTTTTCTTTTTTTTGCCGTGATAGGACCTATCGTATGATAGTTACGAGGATGAGTAATACATATAGAGCACTTTAGAACAGTGTCACATAATTACCATTCAGTAAATCATAGCTACTATTATTTTGGGATCTCCCATTATGAGATTAGAACCTAAGAATATTATTTTAGGGCATGAGCAGAGGAGGCAGTTAGCAAAAGACATTGCAAAGCCATTCTTTGGAGACTTAGAATGAGAGTCAGGAGAAATCAGTATCCCAGAATCCAATAGAAGATAGTTTTGAGAATTAGGTATTCCCTTTTAAAGGAAGCTAATAGTTAGAAATTGTATATGTTTAACCAAAATGTCTCTGTTACCTGATGTTGTAATTAGGAATATCTTTATGTGTAACATTCTTAAAATTTAATATAAATTTACTAGAATTTAGATTTTTTCAGTGTTTGCTAAAACTAGTAGTTCTCTTTGAGGCAAAACCCACTTGCTGACCATTGATTTTTGTTTACTTTAGCTGGGAAATAAGTCAGCAAATGAACTGTGGCTCATATTCTGTTTCATTGTAATTAAAGTTGATCTCTAAGGAAGGATGTCAACTGTTTATTCTGAATTTCAAATAGGCACCCTCCTCATCCATGCCTGACCTTGGTCCTAAGTTCCAAGCCGTGACTAACTCTGCCATGCTGATTGGGTCTCTTAACTGTGTCCCTTTGTGTGTATACTTCAAGCCACCAATTTTCAAACTTTTTGACAGAGATACATTGTGGCTGGGTGTACATATACATGTATATGTATATGTGAGTGTATATGTAACAAACAATATTTTCCTAAAATATATTTTACATAAGACCTTTGCCCTCCTAAATTTATCCTGTTCCTCCATCTGTTCTCCGTCTTCCACATACTTTCTCTTATTCTGTTCCTTGACCTTGTGGATTTATATATTTCCCCCCTTATCATTTTAGTCTTTTTTTTGAGATAGAATCTCCCTCTGTCATCCAGGCTGGAGTGCAGTGGCATGGTCTCAGCTCACTACAACGTCTGCCTCCCGGGTTCAAGTGATTCTTTTGCCTCAGCCTTCCAAATAGCTGAAGGTTACAAGCATGCACCAACACACCTGGCTAATTTTTGTATTTTTAGCAGAGACAGGGTTTCACCATGTTGGCCAGGCTGGTCTCAAACTCCTGGCCTCTAGTGATCTGCCAACCTCAGCCTCCTAAGATGCTGGGATTACAGGCATGAGCTACCACACCCGGCCCTATTTTAATTTTTAGGTAGCTTTTAGAAATAAAGAGTAACAGATTTGGTTACTCCCAACACTATGGGAGGCCGAGGCAAGTGACTCATTTGAGCCCAGGAATTTGCGACCAGCCTGAGCATCATGGTGAAATCTCATCTCTACAAAAAATATAAAATTAGCTGGGCACGGTGGCACATGCGCCTGAAGTCCTAGGTATTTGGGGGGCTGAGGCAGGAGGATCGCTTGAGCCCAGGAGGTCAAGGCTGCAGTGAGCCCTGTTCACACCACTGTACTCCAGCCTGGAGACAGCAAGATCCTGTCTCAAAAAAGAAGAGAGAAAAAGAAATAGTAATAATTCACACTTGTTTTTAAAAAGAGCCTTCCTGGCCTGCGTGGTGGCTCACACCTGTAATCCCACCACTTTGGGAGGCCGAGGCAGACAGATCACGAGGTCAGGAGATTGAGATCATCCTGGCTAACACGGTGAAACCTCGTCTCTACTGAAAATACAAAAAATTAGCCGGGCGTGGTGGCAGGCGCCTGTAAGTCCCAGCTACTTGGCAGGCTGAGGCAGGAGAATGGCGTGAACCTGGAAGGTGGAGCTTGCAGTGAGCTGAGATTGCGCCACTGCACTCCAGCCTGGGTGACAGAGCGAGACTCCATCTCAAAAAAAAAAAAAGCCTTCCCTGAAAGATGCTCTTTGGAACAGTAAGTCCTCTAGTGTGGCCTTCAAGATTAATCTATAAAAGACTTCTATTGTACCTGTGAAACTCAAGAATAGTGCAGAAATGGTAATGTTTCTAATTTAAAGTTGTTTGATTTTTAGACCTTTTAAATAGAACCTCTCTGAGATAAAACTCTTCTACATGCTAACATGCCAGGACGAAAGAAGCCATGTAGCTCAAGGTTAAGAAATTTGAGATATCCAGAGTAATTTAAGAAGGCGTTAGCATGAAAAAGCCCATTACTCATAACTTATGATACACTGAAATTCAAAGCATTGTCCTCAGCTTTAATGCTTTGCCTCCAGTTGTTACTAAAAAGTACAGTGATTTTTTTTTAACTCTCTCTAGTTCAGATAAATATATTCAGATTCTTATTGCAGCATGAAAATTCCTATTCTGTAATTGAATATTAGTTTTGGAAATTTTCTTCAATCTGCTTAAGCTTCTACGTTTTGTTTTGTTTTGTTTTGTTTTGTTTTGTTTTGTTTTGTTTTTTGAGACGGAGTCTCGCTCTGTCACCCAGGCTGGAGTACAGTGGCGCAATCTTGGCTCACTGCAAGCTCTGCCTCCCGGGTTTACGTCATTCTCCTGCCTCAGCCTCCCGAGTAGCTGGGACTACAGGCGCCTGCCACCTCGCCTGGCTAGTTTTTTGTACTTTTTAGTAGAGACGAGGTTTCACCGTGTTAGCCAGGATGGTCTCGATCTCCTGACCTTGTGATCCGCCCGTCTCAGCCTCCCAAAGTGGTGGGATTACAGGCTTGAGCCACTGCTCCCGGCCTTGTTTTGTTTTAAGATGATGTTTTGCTCTTGTTGCCCAGGCTGGAGTGCAATGGCATGATCTTGGCTCACCACGACCTCCGCCTCCTGGGTTCAAGTGATTCTCCTGCCTCAGCCTCCTAAGTAGCTGGGATTACAGGCATGCACCACCACGCCTGGCTAATTTTGTATTTTTAGTAGAGACACAGTTTCTCCATGTTGGTCAGGCTGGTCTCGAACTCCCGACCTCAGGTGATCCGCCTACCTCGGCCTTCCAAAGTGCTGGGATTACAGCCGTGAACCACCACACCCGGCCTGCTATTTTTCTTTATTTGAATGATCTTCATGTTTTGCTTTCATTCCAGGAAATCCATGGTGTACAACACCCTCTGTTCTTTAATGTTTTAATTCCTTCATCCTCCAGAATCTCTTATACCCAATTATCCTCCCTCTTTCTGTATGATCTCCCCATTTAAATTTTTTTTAACATTCTTTTTTTTGTTTGTTTGTTTTTGAGACGGAGTCTTTCTCTGTCGCCCAGGCTGGAGTGCAGTGGTGCGATCTCACTGCAAGCTCTGCCTCCCGAGTTCACGTGGGTTCTCCTGTCTCAGCTTCCTGAGTAGCTGAAACTACAGGCGCCC